TGTGTGTGTGTGTGTGTGTGCGTCTGTGTGCGCGTCAATAGCAATGATGTTGTTGGTAATGATAAAAAGATAAAATATCCTTAACTTGAAGCTCTACGTTAAACCAGCCTTCTGTCTTTGCTTTCTGCGGCCCTCCATCTTATTTTTCTTTCTCTCTGCTCTCCGCGCCTCTCCCCCTTATTCCCCAGTGCAACCTGTTTGTGTATTCCTCCCTCTCCAGCTTCACTTTCCATCCCTCCCTTTCTCTCTCTCCTCTACCCACTCGCCCCAACCACAATTATACCTCTTTCAGGCATTTCATTTCTAGCCATAATTTGGGCTGTCGACTAGAGAACGCCAATCAATTTGCTAGTGCTCTGTAAAGAACAAAGATACTTATACGCTGTAGGAGAGTGGAAAGTATTAGTGGAAACTTGATCCTTAGGATTAAATAAAACATAACTTTTCATCAAAGAAAGGTAAAGGTTAAAGTAGAATCTGAACAGAATTAAGAAAGACAAGTAGAACATTTGTGCAGCAGTTAAGGACAGAGTTAACTCATAGTTTCTCCTAGATGGATCGACGAAGGGATTCATAATTAATAAAAGGCTAAAAGGATTTTTTTATATACCTTTTTCTATTTCAGGATATTTTTATTTTTTGCAGCTCCTACTTGTATTTGTGCTTTATTGGCTTTCCTTTGCACTTCAGCAAATGTAGTTCCAGAGTTTCCCTGTGCATGTGCTTTTGTTATCACCCACCATGATCTAAAAGGCCTGTGTTCTACCTCAAGGCTGTGACTGTAACGTACGAACACAGATAAACACTCTTTCATCCCAACAACACAAACATCTTGACGTTTCTGACTCTGTGATGGCGCTCTTAAAGAAACTACAAGTGAGGCTGAACAATAACCCTTGAGCAGAGTGTGTATTTATTAGAGCTGAGCTGGTGTGATAGTTACATTTTTAATTGACATGTGATGAACCTAATGTTGCTCATTAGCTCCTTTGCAAACGTTCAGACCTGCAGAAATACGACACAAAGCAGATCACTTCTAATTAATGCTAAGAAAAAAGTAGCAAAAAGGGATAGATCTTAAACAGCTTAGACACTTGATAGTCGAGTCCAACTTAATGCAAATGAGCAGGGATGTGGTGGAAAATGGATAAATGAAGGTTTGTTTTTTCTCCGTTTTTGTTCCCCTGCTATAACCCTCCTGTTACTTGTGTTTCTACAACAGCTGGCTACAGTGTGTGTACCTCCTCAACAAGTCCACAGTAAAAACTGAAACCATAAGAGAGAGAAACTCAGTGATTTGGTGCCAAAGAAATCAATGTATTATTATTATAGACAGGCTTGGACATCTGATTGACAACTGAAGGAATATTGTTTTTTCTTTATATTAACAAACTAATACTAAAATTAGTATTATATTCAAATAGATTAAGACAAAATGAATACCATCACTAATTTGTTTAGTTTTTAAGCCTTTGTTTAGACCACACAATACATATAATGACATCAATGAGATATTTTCTGATTTGGGATTAGCATTTAATTTTACAATGCACAACTGGTTAGTAAATAAATTCAGAAGTGACATTTTAAATTAAAATACATAGTTGTAGCCCCAAGTTCCTAACACTACCTGAAGTTGTTTTTAAGAAGTATGTGTTGCAGTATTGTTACATCTTTATTTTGATAATTCGTTTTGGAACATATTTGATTTAAATAATGTCAGTGAGCTGTCTATGAGCTGGAGACATTTTTACAACATATACAACTTCTATAACCCTAGACACAAAATAGGAGGTAACTCAGTGATTCAGTAGCTGACTTCTCCAAGTCTAAGAAACATCACATTGGATCACCCACCCAATTAAAAAATAAAAGGTTGAATGATTCCTCCTTTTCTAATAGCACACATATTGGTTGATTGAATTGCTCAAGATTCTATAAACATTTAGTAAATAACAATATTCATACAGAAGACTAGGCCCCGGCTACACGAGGACGAAAACGGCTAAACGCATAGGATTAACGCAAACGCAATGGCAAAAAAACTTCCGTCCACACGCAATATTCACCGGATAGTGTCTGTCCACACGAGACAGCTCCGTTTAGCTCCAACCGCTGGAGAAGCTGCAGTACATATGCTGAGCCTGTACGTGGCGCTGTAACTTCCTCCACAAAAGCAGCGAAGAAGCATGGTTGTCATGGTTGCCCTTCTGTTTATTCTCCGTGGTGGGGGCCGAGGGAACCGGGCAGAGTTTTTCGCCAGTCAACGTGTATTAAAGTTTAAATCTTCCGACAAAATTATAAAAGTGCCGGTCAAAGGTCTTCTTTGTTATTTATTGAGCTTTAAAACAAATGAATAACGAATCTATACAATATAATAATAACATACACGGAGCCTCTCTTTTTCCTCCCTCTCTTCGGACAGCGTCAGTGTCTGTCTCATGCAGCAGCTGATCCAGTAATGAGTGACCCGGCCGAAAGTAAAATAAACATATTTATAACTAGTTTAGGTAGTTTGAGAGGTGTCTCCATCCTGTCAGATTAGACTTCACTTGCGTTTATGTCCATATCGAGAGAAAGATAAATAATCTGAATTCAGTGTGCAGTTTACTTTGACGCGGGGGTGAGCAGCAGAGGCGGGGCTATTGCCTCATCATTATCAGAACATGTTCGTATAGGGCGCACACACGGAGCCGTTGGACCCCCCAGAGCGTTGCGTATGCCGTTATATCCACCTTGGGACCCGTTATCGTTTCTGCAGTCGTTTAGTGCCGTATTCGGTCGTCCTCGTGTGGCCGAACGGTCTATATGACACTAAACAGTAACGCAAACGACCGTTTTCGTCCTCGTGTGGCCGGGGCCTAAGTACTGTAGCACAAAGCAACACAATGGCAGGTGATGTCAGCCTGTTGCCTGACTGTCTTCTCTTTCTTTATAAACATCACTAAACGTGCAGCCTCAGAAGACCAGACATCTATGGTTTTGCTCGCCTTCTAAACCTTTAACAACACAATAGGTACACAAAGAAAAAGATGTATCCTCATGTAAGAACCAAAGCACCTTCAGAAAAGAATCAACCAATATGAACAACATGCATGAGGAAGAGGACAGCTTGGTGATAAAAGCTTTATATCGCTTACTGTGGTCTGGTTTTTACAATCAGTGTAATTATCCATGCAAATTTTCTGCATTTTTATATAGATCGTTAAATATTAATTAAACTTTTGGCCAACCCTGTTTATTGCATCATTCTTATTAAGTATATAAAAAGGTAGGGCATGAACACAGAATAAAATCATATTTTATTGTAAGGTTAAATCAACAAACTGCTTCTTATAACTCTCATTTTGCACCTTTATGCTATTCATTATTTCCCTTTTCAGGTGTTGGTTACATGTATGGGTTTTATTGCAATTTGAAGGGATTGAGTAAGTAACATGCTTTACCCTAATTTAAATAGACAATAATTGCCTGCACAGGGCTATTAAGCTTATAGCATGAGGGATAATTAGACCATAAATTACAGTAATTTACCGCAGACACACTCATAGTTCCTGTAGGAATATGAATGCTATTTTTCATTAAGTAAAAAAAGAAAGGAAAATTATCCTGAATTATAACAGTGTGCAATTAGCACTGTCAGATTGTGTAAGTGTATCTGTGTATGATAGGGGGGGAAATCTCAATATGTAATGCAATACAACAACCAATGCACATAATACCATATAGCCCTGTAGAGATGAATGAATACTTCTTTGATACAGAATAACAACTGATAATATACAAAACAGTTGGAAGACAATGAAAAAATATGACTTTATATTGGTATTGGTGGATATACGGTATATGATATATTTAGAGCAGTGATACCATTATAGCAAAATCAGTGACTGTTTTTCGAAACTGCAAAATGTACGGTCACAATCCTTCAAAAGAAATGTGTTTGTGTTGTCTATTTGTGTGTCAAATTGAATATCGGCCAAGGTATTAATATGTCCTCTCAACTTTAAAATACTGATATCAGATGCTTATTCAAAAATGCAGTATAGGCCAGGCTCTAGCTTCTACTCTAATAATGTCTCATTCAGACTGTGACTCTGGGTCTGACTATGAGAGTGGCTTAAATTGAATCGGACTGTTTCCTGGGAAGCTGTCTCTGGAAGAGCGCCAGAGGGTGCTGGTGGTGCAGCTGCACCCGTAACATGGCCCCGAGGGGCCCGCACGAGCCCTCTGATGCTGTGTGCTGATGAGCACATCAATCTGTGTACCTGTGTGTGTTAGTTTGGAGTAAAGGTTTGTTGCACCCATGTTCCAATGAAAGCTACATTTAATAATGCTGTGTGCAGCACCTTACGGGCTAAGCTGCGGTAACTGCCCGAAGGTAATAAATGCAAATTAATTGTGAGCTGTGCCTCTTACGCAAATAAAAACAATCATTGGTCACAAAGACTGTATTAAAACGCATCAACATCAGCTGAACCAGTGTGGACTCCCAGTCATTAGCAGAGAACATACTCTCCCGTCCTGTCAGCCTAGAGCCTGATGTCAGTGCCTGTATGTTTTAATTAAAACTCAAACTGACTCCAACATATAGATCCCCTGTTCTACTTTACTGCCTACCTCCTCCCTCCCCTCAAGAACTGAAGAGCACTCATTTACTATCTAAAGGGCCCCCAACTGGCTCATAGGCCCAGCCCTAAATGTAGGCGGCCCCCATACAGTCAGTGTGTCATTTTTGAGTTTGTGTGCGTGTGTGTATGTCGACCTATATGTGTGTGTGTGTGTGTGTGTGTGTGTGTGTGTGTGTGTGTGTGTGTGTGTGTGTGTGTGTGTGTGTACCTGTCAGTGCTTGGTGAGTAGTCGGTAATTGCTGGACCGTGGTGACCTGCTGAACCCCTGTAACAGAGCTCAGAGCCACAGTAGAGTACCCCCACAACACACACGCGCGCGCACACACACACACACACGCACACACACACGCACACACAGAGAAACAAACAACAGCACGCAGGTTTGTCGCTATAGACGAGGAGGAGGCAGAGGAGGATTGAAGGTGCGCTGGAGGCGACACCTGTCAAGCCGCTACTAAACTCAGTTGGTTGATTTTAAAAGACTGAGGCGCCCGAAGACTAGCGGGATAAATCGAGGTGGAAATAGAGATTAGTCGCACCTATTGTCGCTGTTTTACGCTCAGGGAGGGACACGGAGCTCTTTTGAGGAGAGAAAAAAAGGAGGATGTAACGTTAACGTTATGACAAGCCGTTTCGGGAGTTGAAGTAGCGAAGTTGGCGTTTGGTTGAAGTGGAGCTGGCTGACAGCGAGGAGCAAAACACGCTGGAGAGAAAAAACGGGATCCGAGGTTAGTCTCTCTATCCCCCTCACTCTCTCTCTCGCTCTCACACACACACTCGCTCCAAACACATTAACCCAAAGTAGAGTGAAACAACAGGGTGGGAGATAACTAGTGCACATCGCGGAGCTCCGGTGCGGGCAGAGCGAGCATCCTTCCCCGTCTCACAGAGCCCTTCACCCGGCTGCATAGCCTACTGGCCGCCGGGACTTAACGGACCCGCGTAAATATCTATTAAGTTGAAAGGACGATTTGTCTAGGATGCCATCAGGGAAAGCGAGCAGCAATGAGGCAGAACATGGATACAAAAGGTATGATCTGAGTCGGGTTGATGACTGTGCATTCGTAGAGGAGAGGGTGCACGGTTCATGCAGGTTAGCCTGTCAGGATCTTTATTAATCTCTATTGCTCATTGTGGTGGCATGTTGATGCTAAAAGGCTTTTTAACTGTTGTTGAAAAATGTGTGCTGGTTTATATGGATGTGCGTTCACTTGTGCAGCTACCTGCTGGAGCAAAAAAGGAAAAAAATAGTAAGAGATGTAAACAGCGGGCTACAGAGAGTAACAACAGAGAGGGAGATTAAAGTGAGATTATACTTTATAAAGAGATATAATTCCCATTTGCATGTTTTCTCTCATCTCTCCCACCGCTCTTCCCTGCTCTCTCATGTGAGCAGTGTGGTTTGTATGTGTCTACAGTAAGTGCTTGTGGTCTTGTTATGTGTATGTGTGTCTCCCCCCCCCCCACCTTAACACAAGGGCCTATGTGGTTTGAAGCTCTTGGATGTTGTGCAGGGCACCAACTTGACTAAAAAGCAAACAAACAACAAAAAAGATTGCGTCATCCAACTCATTTCTGAAAAACGACCTTAACATCTCTTGCTGAATGTAACAGAAACATACTGTACATCTGCACACACACACACACGCATACACATGAACATACAAACTCAGGATTAGCAGTCATACAGGGCCATATTGAGACAGCAGATTAGAATGAGATTCTCGGGGCCAAAGCGGTACAGAACACAGGATTAAAGAAGAAAGGCAGAGATGGATGGATGGAGTGATGAACAAGGGGAAAAAAGGCAAAGAGACCAAAAGGGGGGCAAGAGAGAAAAGCAGGAGAACATGAGATTAAAGTGTAATGTCCTAGAGAGGGAGAGAGACATAGAATCCAGGGCAAGTCATGCAGTTAGAAGGAACTGCACATTGGCAGAATGTGGAGAGAATAAAGAAGAGGAGAAGGGAGCAGACTATCGCCTCCCTTTTGATCTCCTCTTATTCACCCATCCGACAGCACAAGAGGAGCCCTGCTTATATAACTCTCCATTTGAACACAATAAACCAAGAAGGGGTTGAAAAAAGAAAAACACAATCAGCATCTTACAGATGGATAAATTGCCAAACAAAATTTAACAAATAAAACCTGCAGACATCAGTATAATCTCTGAGCATCATGACAGTATTTTTTCATTTCCTGAAACAGGCGTCTTTCATTTATTTTATTTATTCATTTATTTAACAGGGACAGTGCACATTAATGAACATTTCTGTAAACGTGCCAGAGTTAGCCAAGAGGCTATTTTTCATCTGTAGTCCCTGGACAGATTTTAAAAGTCAACCTAAAACACATTTCATTTTAAACAAGTAAATACAATACATTTAAAACATGCAACAGTCATTACTGGGATACTTAAATAAAACAATTTAAAATACATCCATTTCATCCAAACAAGAGGCGCTGCTTTTGCCTTAGACGCAAACATGCTGTTTAAAATCCTCATCAGCACCTGAGTGATCTCAGCTGACTGAGCTTCTATGTTAAGAGATATGTGAGTGGTGCCAATACACTTAGCATAGCATAAGTCGGCTGTTATCACACTTGTGAAACCTTGTTGTTTGTGGTTCTTAAATTGAACATTCTGAAAGATTAATCTCGTTTTTTAAATACGTTTTGCTCTTCTTGAATTAGCATTGCTGTATTTGCTACAAATTCAGGTTCATGATATCTTGACATGGAAAATAACAACTTTTAACCCACCCCCTAGCGTTAACCAGTCGTATGTGCCACCGCAAAAAACAACGGGATCACTTATTTTTTTCTCAGAGCTTAGCAATTCAACAACACAAATCACACAGCATTTAGTTTTCTAAAGTTATTTCACTGTTTGCAGTGCTCAGAATAAGCACCAACCACCAACCTGTGTTCCAATGCTGGTGAAATATGCAAGTGGCTGGTAGAGTTCCATCACTCACCAGCCAAAAACAATGGTAATGTATTGAGTGGTTGGTAGAATTTAAACATTTACTAGCCATTTGGCAAGTAGACACAAAAATGTACTCTGCAACTTGACCTTCACAGTTGATAAAGACAATAGTACAAAACAATGTGTTTAATCATTTTACATGAGGCAAGTGTCTTGCTAGATTGAATACCCCAGGCAGTATGGAAAATCTTATGTTAAGCCTGCACTCTTTGGTAACTTGGAAAAACAAAAGTGCTATCATCTTCCTGTTTTTTTTAATGCACTTTCTTTGTGCCATAAATCAAGCCTTGATTTCTCAGGATGCAGACAGAATTGCAAAGTGAAAAAAGGTAACCAATACAACGTATATGTGTCATTATTCTATAGCTATTACATTATTCAATCAGGATTGACTTCATCATTGTTTCGTTGAATCAAACAACCACCATAATATAACAAATTAATCTAAAAGCCTGACAATCTTTGAAAAACAAAAATGTATACTGTAGATCAAGAGTACAATCTTCCAAAGCACATTTTATTTGTGTGTGTTCTGTGGGAGGACTGGACAGATTCTCCATGTTGGCTTTGTGATTTGGAGGCTCAACATTGAATCTGTACTGGCAGTGGAAAGTGGCATGGATGGATGAAGCTGATGAGATTTACTGAGAAACTAAAATAATCCTTGTGTGGTGTTGCTTTTGGCATATTGGTTAGTCTTAAATTTGCACCTCCAGATTTTTGTGGCAGTGGAAAAGCTAAATCACAAAATTATTATCATAAAATTATATAAAAACTGAAAAAGTGAATATCTTAGCAAACACAGCAGCATCATTAGCACTTGGTTTCTCAAAGCTTTGTGAATGTATGTCTGGTATTCCTTTGAGCCCTGTATTGGTTTTAATCAGGAAACTATTCGTCTCTTGCTAAAAAGTCCAATATGTTCACCAGCTAGTTGCTAACTATCTAAATCAGGGATGTCAAACTCAAGGCCCGGGGGCCAAATCCGGCCCGCAACTTCATTTTATGTGGCCCCGCAAGAGCTTGCAAAGAATATAATACGTTTATTATACGGTTACATGCCACTTTATAGAAGCAGATAGCCCATAAACTACACTGAACAAAAATATAAATGCAACACTTTTGTTTTTGCTCCCATTTTTCATGAGATGAACTCAAAGATCTAAAACATTTTCTATATACACAAAATAACCATTTCTCTCAAATATTGTTCACAAATCTGAAAAAATCTGTGATAGTGAGCACTTCTCCTTTGCCGAGATAATCCATCCCACCTCACAGGTGTGGCATATCAAGATGCTGATTAGACAGCATGATTATCACACAGGTGTGCCTTAGGCTGGCCACAATAATTCATCTCGTTTTGTGACATGCACACTGAAGAGACTTGCAATGATTTGCCCTAGACTTCTGCTTTCAGACGTAGTTAATTACTAAGTTATTATCCTATCCGATAATAATCCAATTCAGAGGCAATAATGTAATATAATACATTATTTTATATATATATATTTTTTATATATATATATATATATATATATTTTTATAGTTACAACCGGCCCTTTGAGTGTAACCATAATGCTAATGTTGCCCGCGATGAAATTGAGTTTGACACCCTGATCTAAATGATGTTTAGTGCTGAGCAGGAACTGCTCTTTCTGACCATGACCAAAACAATGAGTTGAAAGATGCTCAAACACTTTGTAGAGCTCAGGAAAAAGGCAGAGTTTGTCTTTCTTTCGAACACTTGAATAGCATTTATTTAATCAATAGGTCTTAAAAGATGTGAAATTAGTTGAAGGCCTAATTTTTTTGTTTATTGTTATTTTCCCTCATTTGACTGAGCCAAAATGCTGCTGATCGGAGGAGGTGCTTAAGAAAAATGTGAGTGAATGTGCTCTATGGGCCGAAGATCCTGGATGATCCGGGTATATGTTTGCTCTCTAAAGTCAAGCCAGTTTTAGCATCATGAATCATCGACCAACTTTCAAAGGAAATAACAGGGCCCTGCCACCAACTCTGTATCTAGTTCTCTATATACATCCATGAGTTTAACGTATCTAGAATTGATGAATGAGTGAAAAGTTCACTCCTTTACTACTGAACTGTACACATTCAGGAACTGTGTTGCATAATGTCAAATGTAAAACCCCAGTACCATGACACTAGTGGTCAAACTTTTCCCTGGTAGCGGTTTGTTCAGTTTACCATCCAGCGAGTGTTCATATAGTGGTGCGCAGTGTTGGAGGCATTGGGTCATCGCCCTGTGGCAGCTCAGCAGGTGTCCAGAGGAAGAGATAACTGTCTGTGCTTCCATGTATTTTAGCAGCATGTCTGCTTTCCTGAGGCTACTTGACCTTCTTATCTAAAGTGCCTACCTGGAGAGTGTCCGATTCTGTTAATTTATAACTTCATTATTTTACATCTTCTTCATAACTTTAAAGTGTAGCTCACATTTTTTTTAAATTAGGGATTGATGATTTACATCCATTTCAAAGTCTGTCCCCGGTTTTGTATCAAGCCTACAGTCATGACATTCAGCATTAATGTTTCACTGCGAAATGTAAATAATTCAGCAGTATGAAACCAGGACTGTTACTAAGCATATCAGTGCCAGTCAACTTTGGCACAGTGTTAACATTACATTTTATTAATGATTCAATATTGGAATTGGTACCCATCCAAATCAATATATGATAGTAAAAATGTAAGATGTCAATAATGGCCTTGTCTGGCCTA